CCACAAGAAGATTGTTGATTTATGTACCTGTGCATTTTCGAATGTTTGTGCTGCAGGTGTTGTATGTTTGTTTTTCTTACAGATGCGGCAGTTGCCGATGCATTATGCATTTCTATTTGTATTACGCCTTCCACTACACACCCGCCCCCACCCCTTTTTTTCTCCCCTGACTCTCCTGCCTTAGACATTGTCATACTATATTCCACAAATAATGTAAAACTTGAAATGACACAAATATAAATGAAGAAATAAACAGATAAACTCTGAAAAAAGGGGATCATTTAAAAAAACAAACAACAATGTGCTCTCATTCTACTTTCTCAGCATCAACATACAGTGCATGCCTGTTAGGGAACATGACTGAGGCTGTTACATGTGCTGCTGTAATGTCAGTTAGATGGTAAGCTGTTCTCTCTTAGCTTTGTGCTGCAGAATGTTAATGTCTGTTATCACAAGCGTGCAGTTAATGTTGTGTGATGTTGTGTACCGCTAATCTACATGTGAATGGGGGTTTACTTTAATTTGGCTGTTTCGCCTATGACAGCAGTGTCACACAGCCGTTTTCACCTCTGGAAATAATATGCACATGTGCAGTAATTCTATATGAGTATTCATTGGAAAGTTAAACTGCAGTGCTCTTTGGACAAAAGGCTGCTGGCTATGCAAAATCTCTAACACAATGGGTGTGTGTTTCTTTTACAGACTGGTTACAGTAATTCATGTGTGCTTCCCCACTGGACAAATTCCTCAGAGGAATTCAAATGAATGTAATACTGAGAACAGGTCATTGATTTTAGGCACACGGGCACACAATTTAGGCAATAATCGGATTGCTGTACAAAAATAGCATTTACATGCTATGTAATGTTGAAAATGTCCACAGGTTAACACACACACTGTGCTATAATTGCAGTCTGTTAGGTGGCTACACGCTGCAGTAATTAAATGTGTGTCCCTTCCCTCGAGTAATTAGATTTCAAAGGTTCTCATGTACAAATAAACTGAGTGTAATTGATAACCTGTAACTGATTTAACAGAATTATATTTACATAGCTGCGACTTTCATAACTCTGCACACCATCCATCATTGTAACTTGGTGGCTGCAAAATTAGGCGGGATGTGTTTTTTATTGTATGTTATATTTTCTGCTTCTTGTTGCAGCAAATATCCACTAATTTAAAAAAGTACTTTATGTTTACAGCTTGTGATGTTCATGTACCTTGTCATGCCATTTAGAATACCTGACTTTCCTTTGACTTTATGGGAACATATCTAAATATCTCACTGTACAGTAGCTCCCATTACAACATATCTATAGGCTGCATGTGGTCTACTAAAATCATTTTTTAAACACTTTTGTAGAGTTTCTTCTGATTTTTCCTACAAAGCTCAAAATGAGTTCATGCTTATCATAAATATAATAGTGAGTGGTCAGTTTCTATACTTCCATAACCTATCATGACCACAGCTTAGCATTAAAAAATATGACTGCTTGTAAAATAGTTTATACAGAGGTTTATATAATTATACGTCTATAATAAGTGGTTGTCTTGCAGTAAATATCAAGTATCACAGCATCGTGCTACTATCATTGTCACAGGCAACATATTGTGTTTGATGATTACTGTACACAGTTTAAACCGTCTTTAGGTTTAATCTAATCTAATTATTGCTGTCACCAACAGAGCAGCTTAACTAAAGCTTTTGTGCTGTTGCAGCTAATCAGCGTCACCCTGAACACGTTAGTGAATTCACCTGCAATCCTTCTGCCCTGCTCACAGTCCTGGTAGACAGCGCCTGTTAACTTATATTACAGCAATACTAATGCAGGCTGTCAGTTTTTAGCCTCCACCTAAAATTAAAGCACTCAAGTCTTTTCTTTTATCATCTTGATGTATCGTTAAAAAAGCACAAAGTGCTGTGTTTTTGTACAAATGTCAGGCTCTCTGTTGGCCTGTCTGTGTCTACCTCTCTGTCTAATTTTCTTCTGTTTCTCCTTCTCTGTCTCTGTTCTGTTTTATTGATGAAGGCAGTAGGGACTTTAGGGGATGTTGGTTATTTCAGCTCTACTTCCTTTGCGCACACACACACACACACGCATACACGCTGGCCTACTTTCCCAGGTCTTTTCCCTCTGGATGGGTTTGCATCTCTGTGGTCACAGAGACGGACTACTACACACACATACACAGTGACACTCACACAGACAGATGTGCACAACTTCAGACACATACGCGGTGCCATGTGCTCCAAGACAAGGTCATAAATTAGTAATTAAAAAAATAATTTGTTGTGTAGAAAAACAGTTCTCAGCTGTTTTTCATCTTGTATTTATTCCAGCACGTCTTTCTATCCGTTTAGAGAAAAGAAATCTAGTTTCAAACTTCAAAATGAAATGTATATGTCATCAACTAACCTGTCCTCCAGCAGAATGGCTTGTCGCGCTGAAGCTGAGCGTGTAACTGCATGCGTCATTTGTTTTCTGTCCCCCTGCAGGGCCTTGTTTGACTATGATGGAAGTGCTTCGGATCTGAGCGCGCCCAATCAGGCCCTGCCCTTTCATTTTGGGGATATCCTCCACGTGAGCAGTGCCAGCGAAGAGGAGTGGTGGCCCGCCCGTCACCTCAGCCCCCCGCCCCCAAACTGCCCGGAAGTCGGGGTCATCCCCAGCCGCCGGAGGTCAGAGTTCAAAGGGTTTCAGATGGGAGTGGGTGGATGGTTTTATTGATTTTTGTTTTATTAACTAAAGTAGAAGCGTTAAAGTCGAGTCCACCCATTCCCTCAAATCTAGTTTTGAGTTGTTGCTATCACCTAAAAATGTTCACATTTGAATCTTTGTTCAATACAAATATTGAATGATAACTTTTACACTTATATTTTCTTTCTGTTCATCTGTTAGAAATCTGAATCTGACTCTTTTCAGAAGGCTTTAAAATGAATTATTATTAAGTTTTTCACCCATACAGATTAAATCAAATGAAAACAGTCCAGACCAGAATGAGCGTCAGTGTGGTCTTCAGTCATTTCATTAGGATGAAGATTATTATAATACAAGTCTGTCCAGGCTTATTGTGATAGGCCACTATACAGCAGACCCTGGAGTCAACCATAAACCTTCACAAAATTTAATTAGAAAACTAAGAAGACTAATAAGAAAACAAACAAATGTGTTCGTCCACAGTGGTTTGTTCACATTGGCACCTTTCCATGAGGAATATCAAGGTGGAAGACTGTGTATCTTCTTTTCATGATTTACTAAATGGGTTTTTCTTTTATTTGTTTGTTGTGGCTCAAAATAAAAAAGACAGAGAAAAAAATCTACTTAGTTTCAATGTGTCATCCCATTCTGACTTAATTTGACGCTGGATTTCAGCTCCGTGCTGTTTAAAATACAGACAGCTTGGCAGCTGTTTCCTGGGGACAGCATCCGTGGTCAGAGATTCATTTTCAAATTAGCTTCAGTCTTTACACCAGAGTGTCGTTTTTGTGTTGACTCATATCACTGCGAGCATCATCATTACGAAGAATCTGCTGAATGTAATCCTGTGGTGGAAATATATGCCAACTTTCCTTCCTTCTACCTTCTCCACTTGTTTCGCCCTGTGGACCATCCGTGACACAGAGGGAGGCGATGACCAGGGGCAGAGGGATGTAGAAAGTGATGGAGTGTAAGGAAGGAAAGTGAAGGAGTGTTAGAGAGGAAAGAAGGGATTCAAGGTGGCAAGGAAGAGTAGGAGTGAGTGAAATGAGCAGATTGTCACATATGGGTTTGACAGAGAGGTATTAATAGACTTAGGTGTTAAAGCAGAGGCTTGAGCATTAGGGCTACGTAGATAACTGTGTTATAGTTTAAAAAAACAGCCTAGAAACAGAAGTAATAGAAATTCATATATTACAGGCTGTAGTTTGAAAATTGTTAAAGATGTTAGAATATGTCTGCCAGAGATTTAGATTTTACAATTTATCTGTCTGCAGGATATTAAAAAGGATAAGCTGGATTATGCGCTATTAGCATTAGTGTTATGATGAAAGGTAATTATTAAAGTTCAGTCAGTCTTTTAATGTAAGCTGTGTTCAGCCTCTGATATAACTGTATTCAATCATCCCTCCTGCTGCTCTCCTCTCTTCTTTTCCATGGAGGTCTCTTTATTCTACTCCTCTTTAACTTCGTCTCCTTTTCCTCTCGTCTGCTGCTTTTCTTCTTTTTTTAATCTTGCTTCTTCTCCTCTTTCTGCTCACCTGCTCTGTTTTTTTCCTCATGCCTTTTTCCGAGGACATTTTTTAGAGATAAAGTTAAGTGTAAGCATGCTCTTATAAAGATGTCAGCATTCAAAGAACAGGATAACCCAGAATATATCTTTAGTTATCATTGCGATGTTCTTTTTTATTCACTACGTTATTGCTGGTTTGTCAATGACAGTTGTCGAGCTGTTTACAGACATCAGGGGGCTAAAAGCTGTATTACATAAGACTTTTTACAAAGACACATCTGGCTTTTTTAAATTAAAAAAGAAAGCTAAGCAGCAGAGAAACAGGTCCCAGAGATTCAGCTTATTTGAAATTCTAGAGTTGGATGTGATCGCCAGCAGGAAATGGTCCTGCACAGGAAGTGACAAAGCTAAATTTAAACACAGGAGACAAAAATGTCCCCACAGCAGGAGCAAGTGAAACCTTCACAGGGAGGAAATGCCTTCTACACCCGAGTATGCTGGGGTGTTTCGATGCCGTCTCGGTCTTTTATTCCTTTGCACCTGTTTTAAGGTGATCACAGCCCGTTTAGATTAATGGACACGACCATGCAATCAGCTCTTCGCTGTCAACTTACATAACATCTGGATAAGTGCACAAAATTCCCTCTGCTTCCTCTCAGTGCTATTTTAAACCCCCGTAATCTCATACTGATGCTTAAAGATATACAGTTTCAACATTCCAATAAAGTAAGCTGCAAAATTACTTTTCAGATGAAACAATATTTTGTGGCTTTGTTCGAATCATTCTTTCAGATCCATAACAACCTGAAACACTCGTTGTGACGTTAAATTAGTTTTACAGTTTCAGGGTGTTAATTGAGCTGATTCGCTGTTCATATTTTTTTCATCCTCTCTCTGCATGCCTCCTAACGTTTGCACCTGTCTTTTGCTTTATTCACAGGGCAGAAAAGAAGGAGAGGTCGAGGTTAAAGACAGTCAGAGTGAGCAGGTCTCAGGACAGATCAGTGAGTATGAATGTTTGTCATAAATCTTAAAACTCAAACCAGTTCTCAAACCAGTATACTTTCATTCAAGGTGTTGAACATAACAGTAAAATGTCAAAAGAAGTAAAAAGCAAAGCTTGAGCTCTTTACTGTTTTGAAAAAACATGACATTAAATGTCTTATTTTAATTTTTTTCTTACTTTGAGCAGTAAGGTGGATGTTGTGTTGGTTTAAGAACTGTAGGTCAGATGAAACAAAGCAGTTGGTTGGTTGTTTTCTGACAGTTGGTAGATTGACAGCTGAAGGTAGACACCACCAAAATATGATGGGAGTTTTTTGTTGTTTGTTTTTTAAATGACTAATTGAATCTGATTACAGAGAAGGCACAACGTCAGGCTGTACTTGTGTTAAATATTTTGTGCGCAGGGTAATTGCAGAGAAAGTACGGTTACGCTGTAACCTTGGTTCTCCGAGTGAGAGACTCTCTCCACATATTCCATATGTGGGGGGTCATACCCCGAACTTATGTAACGGAGTGGAGAGATAGTCTCCATATGACAGAGAATGGTTTTCTCTCTAAAGGCTTCAGCAACATTTGAAGCACAAAGAGCAACTTTATCATGCTGTTATAAGGTCACATGTGTGATCTTAAAATAGTACAGATGTGTAGAGTGTCAGTAAACATCTAAAAGCTATTTTGTGCTTCACTACAGGCAGGCTCAATCGAGAGGCACAACAGCTTGTTATTTCCTCCAGTCGCATCAAACATTTGCTTTTACTCTCACGAGACAACACCTATATCTAGTGGATATAACAATCACAATGATTTTCTGTTGGTAGTGTTGATAGAAGCAATGTGATGCTATTTTGATGTGATAAAATCCACAAAGAAAGGAGGCTGGGTGTTAAAACAACAAAATTAAAGTCATCTGATTGCCTGCTGTGTTCGAACAACAATCTATGGTTTCTTCAAACCACAGCAATGTTAAACTTGGCATTTTTACCTAAAACCATGACTTTATCGCAAAACTACATGAGGGATTGCTATTCCTGAACTTTACCAAAACTCAATAAGGACTGTTATTGCTCATTTCCAGCGGATTCATTTTATTCCAGGACTTAAAGGAGATTTTCAGAATGCAAAGCAAAAAAAAAAAAAGGCTGTAACTAAAGCTGCTTCAGGCTGAGGTCAGCTGTGTCACTATTTAAACCTTTGGTCATGATTAATGCAAACATCTAAAATTTCCAACAGTACACACCTATCGTAGCTATAACAGATAATAAGGGGAAGTGCAACAACAGCTGAAACTGATTGCTGGATTGATTAGTAAATGACAGAGACAATAAAGGTCGCTTTTCAGAGAGAGCTGCAGGCAATCATGAGTGCTACTGTTGCTGATATCGATTTAGTTTAACCTTGTGTTATTTGATAGGTTGTCTGTTTATGAACAATGAACAATTTTTCTGGCATTACTTTAATAAAGTTTAAGTTCTTAATTAGCACTAGAATTAAAAAATCTATTCTTTATGGAGCCTTTAAATCGCATTTGATTTGTAGTTCAGTCAGTGACTGGGTTGGCTACATTGCCCCTGTTAGTGACAGCCACACCACCTGTTAGTAGATAAAGAATTGCAGGGGGAAACCTTAATTCAAAGTCAAACTACAGAGAGAGTGGCAGTTTTCTCTCCGTTTTTTAATTAGATATTTGTGACGTAGAAAAGTTTCAGTCTGAGTTCATAGGTGAGGCAACAATGTGACTTTATTCACACTTTACACAGTGCGATGCTGAGCACAGGTTTAACACATGCTATTGATATCACCGTGTTGTCAGCGCACACTCTCACTCTCCCTCTGTTTTCTTCACACTGTTTGAATCAGCAACGCTGCAATCAGCAGCTCCGTGTGGTGAAGAGATGATAATTAAAAATTGCGAAGCATGCAAACACACACACACACACACACACACACACACACACACACACACACACACCCTGCTGCACTAACACTGTAATTATTCTTGCTCTCTAAAACTTTGGGTATATGCGTTCGCAGTAGAGAGCTCAAAGCTTTCAAATAGGCTTCTGTTGATAATAGTCAAGATACTCCTGGAATAATTTTCAATATGATAATTAATTGTGTCTTTACCACCACCCCCTCCCACCCCCACCCCCCTCTCTCTGTCTCTCTCCGTCTCTCTTTGTCTTTGTAGGATCAGGATGATAAAGGTAGGTATTCTCTCTCTCAGCGACACCTGCTGGTCAGCACATATAATTCCACCTCTTCTCAAACCTGACCAGACCTAAACTCTGTTAAGTTTCCAGTTGGAGGAGAAGTAATAGGGTGCAATTAAGTATAGAGTTCATTACACACCTAACATACAAAGTCTGGAGCAGTACTCCAAAAACCAGTTGTTCAGTACAAGTCTACCTTAAAGTAAGTCGTCCTTAAAATTTACTTTACAAAGTTAAAAAAAAAGTGTCAACTTTGGAATAAGTTATGTTCAGCTAAATGTCCAAATGTGCATTTGCACAGAAGAGGTCTGGATTGTTTTACTTTTATGCATCAAGAAGGTGCATTTAAATGTCCAGTATGAATATTTACAGCAAGTAAAAGCTATTAGAAAATTAATACTGGCATCTGAAATGTGGAACTTGCCCATATTTGATGGTTCTTGATAATAAAGGTTTGTGTTAATTTCCAAAAGCTACAACATTGATAATTTAGTTAGAGTCTATAAATAAGCACAGACAGGCTCCCTCAGAAAAAGTGCAAGACAACTTAAAATATGCATGGTAATCTCCTGAATTTTTTATTCAATTTAATTGCCCATTAAATTGCTCAATCTCTAAACTTTTCTAGCTTCGTCATGAGTTAGCTGTGAAACTATTACACATCATTTTCTAACCCTCAAACGAGCAGAGCGAACTAAACGGGCTCATTGGAGTCTGTTATGCCTCCTTATAGTTTATAGGGGAATATTTTTTTAAATAGCTCTCTTATCATGACAGATATTTGTAAGATTGTTGGGACTGCTTTTTTAATATTTTACGCTCTTTATCTTATAGTATGAAGCTATTTGAAGTGACTGTTGTTGTGAATTGGTGCTGTACACATTGAATTAGTAAGATAAAATAATCAGCATTCTAATTCAGTCATGGTTTTCATTATTTTTTTATGCTAAAAAACGAAAATGTACAAACATAATTGAGATATTATTTGTGTTTTACTTATTACATTACAAAATGTCTTTGTTTCAGTAATGCTAGAAAAAAAACCTGTTTTTTTCTTTTGTTACTTAAAACACAAATTGCAAAATCAAATCAAAAAAGCAAAATATTAAAAAATCACTAATTTACACAAATATATATAACACCATGTGTGTACTAGTCTGTGTTTAATTTGCAGATGTAAGGAAAGAAGTCAATTTATACGTAGATATAGATCCTGCCCAAAGGTGCCCTTACAATAGCCCCATTTAATCTGAGACATTGGAAAAACAGTTTTGGAGTAAACCTTAGAAATTGCCCTTTATTATATCAGAAAAAATGCAACTGGTGTACAGTTTGACTGAGTTCTCTGAGCATTGTTGTACTTTTCCTTGTGTATTAAGCAGTAGATGTTATAATTGAGATATTACAGCGAAACACACATATAGAAACTGGATGGATGGAATTCTGTTTTGAAAAGTGAAACCACGACAGTGAATGCAAGTTTGTACATGTGTTTACATATGTGTGTGTGTGTTGTATGTGTGTTCATATATATATATATGTGTGTGCGTGTGTGTGTTGACTCTGACCTGTCTTGTCCTTCCAGAGCTGGTAACCTCTGGCACCAGTGATAATGAGAGTAGTTCCTGTAAGTCTAGCCCCTCCTCTGTCCCCTCTCTCTCTGTCTCTCTCCTAAATGTACTTTTCTTCTTCACTCTGTTCTTGATCTTTTAAACTTTGCCTCTCAGTTCATCACCTGCTTGATGTAGCTGCTGGGCTGTAGGTTTTCCTCTGTGTGTGCTTGTGGGTGTGTCACGCGTAATTGTGTGCTATGGTTTACTTTAGTTTTACGTGCATGTCTTTGTGTGTACAGTTTACATTTCTCTGCTTCTGCAGCCTGCTTTTCCAGAGCTGTTGAAGAACTCTTTTTCCAAAAGTAGAAATCAGGGCGTGATATGTTGTCAAGTGTTGGTCCTTTTAATGTGTCCTTCATTTGTGTTTGTTTAAACAGCCGGTCAGGAGGAGATCCTTCTCACCTACCAGCCTGTCATGCAGCATGAAGGTCAGTGGCTTCCCTTTCCTCCTTGGTTTGTTGTTGTTTTTCATGTGTGTTAGCTTATCTTATGTAGGTAAATTAAAGTGCTTCTCTACTCAAAACTGTGTTTCAATCTTTATCATTTCTCATTGGAAAGAATTTGTCATTTTGACAGGGAAATTGTGTTGAAAGTGCTCGCTGTGTTTGTTTAGTGTTTACCTGCAAACAGCATTTTTGAAGCGAATCCGAGGCCGTTGCAAAAAAATCTAAAACTTCAAACCATTTAAATCAGTTGATGTAGCTTTAAGAATCAACACATCTTAGACAATGTATTATTAAAGCAGAGTACTTTGTAACATCTTTAAACATGCCTGGGGGAAGTAATTAATTGAGTTTGTAAGAATTCATTATTTTAGAAAAAAAACAGTCGACCGGTAGTTGGAAAACCTTTCTGTAGCTTGCTTAAATCCCACTGAAGCAGCGGTGGTTCAGTCATTACAAACTTCCTAGCTGTATTAAATAAATCATCTGGAGCAAGCTGCATTAAAATTTTTATAGATTTTAGGGTCCTCTTGATGCACGCTTTCCAGTTTTTTTTTTTTCTTTTGAGTGAGGTGACTTAAGGTAAAAATGACTGATTTCAGACAGGCAGCGTTAAAGGGCTGGTATAAGTTTTTTAAAACTGTGAATCCTTCAAAGACACTCCAGAGGAGTGGATTTTACACGTTGACGGAACCTGTTTTTTTTTTTTGTTTTTTTTTGTCAATTCTCAGTTAATTACACACGGCCAGTCATCGTGCTTGGACCAATGAAAGATCGGGTTAACGATGACCTCATCTCCGAGTTCCCTGACAAGTTTGGCTCCTGCGTCCCACGTGAGTGCCTTTAGTTCATTATAAATCCCAGTAGAAACCTGCAACAGTTACTGGAGCTTTGCAAACCTTATGACCTTGAGGCAATAAATCAAAATCGCAAAGTCGTGCCTAATTTTAATACATTTTTTATGAGCTCAGTGAAGGGTCACGTTTGCCTCATTTAGTTTTTTAAATTAGAAAAAAACTGACAAACATTTTTATGAGACTCCCAAACCCCCAACAAATGGATGTCCTACCCTGAAGACAGATGAGTCCCTAATGCGACATAATGTTGTGTTTTTGCTTTTTAATCTTAATGTTTCAGGCTAATATGTGCACTAAGGTGCTCATGAGCAGGATACTGCACACTAAGATATTTTATTTCTTTGCCTGAGTCTGTGTAAATTCTGATCTTTAGACACAACACGGCCACGGAGAGACTACGAGGTGGATGGCAGAGATTACCACTTCATGTCCTCCAGAGAGCTCATGGAGCGAGAGATTCAGGAGCACAAGTTCATCGAGGCTGGACAGTATAACAACCATCTGTATGGAACCAGCATACAGTCTGTCAAAGAGGTCGCTGACAAGGTGAGACAGAGACACGATCAATGGGAAAAAGAGAGCGAGGGTATGGGAAGAAAGAATGTCTGACTCCGTGTCTCTCCCACAGGGCAAGCACTGCATACTGGATGTATCAGGGAACGCGATAAAGCGTCTCCAGATGGCAGGCCTCCATCCCATCGCTATCCTCATTAGACCACTCAGTGTCGACAACATTTTGTAAGTGACACAACATAACTTTTCAAAGACAATCTGAGCATCTGTCTTGCACTGTTTTATCATCTGTTCTTTCAAAGCTCAAGTAATCAAATGGAAATGTTAAAAATATGATAAGTATTTAAGTAGCATCCTATAAGCATCTTATAAGTAAAAACTATCAGCAACATAAACAAAGCCAGTAACATTGTATAACTTCTCTAAATAAGTGCCACAAAAATGTTCTAAGAGACGGTTCAAGGTTGACATGACAAATATTAATTCTCAAAAGTTCTGCTTTTATGTCATACTGATGAAATACCTCTCATGAAGGTACTTTTTTCTCTTTTTCCATTAAAAAATGTGTAGCTGCATTTATTAGGGAAAAAACTCAGTGAACTTCATTTTTATCCCTGAGCCGTAGTGAGTTTACTGGACGGCTGATGGGTACTGCTGCCGGTTGACAGTATTTTTATACAATATGCAATAAGTCAAACGCCTCTACAGTGAGAATGTTGCCTATATTATTTTAAATGAGGGCTAAACTTCACTCATTTAAATAAATGTGAAGCCCAGCTTCTTTTTTGCTTATATGTTCCTTTACTTTTGTTCACTCATCACTTTCCGTTTTCTAAAAGTCACTGAGTCATCTTAACACTGCTGAACTTTACGAAAATATCAGTAGGGCTATTTTTGCATAGGGTCTAATGGGGTTTTTTTTACAGAAAAATAACTGTAGTCTCTTTCTGCAGAGAGATGAATAAGCGTCTCAGTGAGGAGCAGGCAAGGAAGGCCTACGACAGAGCTGTGAAACTGGAGCAGGAGTTCACAGAGTACTTCACTGGTGAGTCACCTAAACAAAACACATACCTTTAAATCTCCCCCCTCAAGGTTGTCTCCATGTGCACATCTGGACTGCCTCCAGAGTCACTGCTACTACTAAATCACTGCAGAAATATTTTGCCCTAATAATATCAGGATATTGTGAGTGTATGATAAATACTGTACAGTAAAGTCTCACCTGTGGCGGTTATACACTTTGAAAAGAAAACTGTACACATGAGCTGTATAACTTTGGAAAGTAGGGTAAAAATAACATTTTCCATATCTGCTCAACTTTTTTTGATCAAAGATTAGTATGCTTTGAGGTGTAAGTGAAAATGTGATCAAGTTTATTTTTGTGTTTGAGGAGAATCTGTGGAGGAGGCAGCTTGGAGAAACTGTTAAACATGCAGCAGGGGCAAGCTGTGAACCACACTGGCATGTTGTCACCTTTAATGCTGATAAAGTTGTTGGCAAGCTGTGATTTATTCACATATTTACACACGTCGAGTAGTTTTAAAGCTAAGCTATTATACATGTGGGATTGTGTTTTTGGTCCATAAAATCTCATTTAGCTCAGGTTTTGATCTTTACCAACACCTGAAGAGAATATTTGGCCATCCATCCATCTACAGTAACTATTTTCTTCCTGTGTGTCACATTATTTGATTTAAACACATCTTTTAATCTTTAACATTTTTCTCTCTCTCTCTTGCAGCAATCGTCCAGGGCTCAACTCTAGAGGAAGTGTATTCGCAGGTGAAGCAAATCATCGAGGAGCAGTCTGGTCCTTACATCTGGGTTCCCACCAAGGAGCGACTCTGAATAAATACCCATATACAACATACTCACTCACACACACACACACACACACACACAAACATCAGCCTCTCTGCACACTTCCTTCTTGTCTAATTTTCTATTATCAGCCTGCTTCCTTGCTCTCTTTTTCTTATGCACGCACATCACTACATGCATTGACACATTTACATAAGCACATTCAGTGGGACGAGGCTGGGACTATCTGGGACTGCTGCTTCCTGAAGTGGGAGGAGCTCATGTCTGTCCAGCAGCCTATTGGTGGATCTTCCTACGGCTCAGTTCCTTAATGTTTAAGGAGGTGGTTTAAATCAAGGCGACATGTACCATTATCTGATTTGATTTCATTATTGTTCTTCTTATTGTTGTTGTCGTTGTTGTTTTCATATTAACGAAGGGTAATGCATTCATGTATGGGTTTGTAATGATTATATTGTCACCAAGAGGCAGATTTTTGCACGCTGTAGCTTTAAGAGCATGTTTTTGGGACAAAATCTTGATCTCCTTCCCTCTCTGTCTGTCTCTCCTCATAGCATCACTCTTGTTTACAGTTTCTTATTCATGTTTTTTCTCAATCCTCAATCCTTTCATTCCCTTTCTTCCTTTGACTATCCACAGACTTTAGATATGAGGTGAAAATCATTATAAAATTTTCAATACGCCGCAGAATTTTGGCATCAAAACAAATACTGTTTAGAGATGTAGCAAGAATATATTAATCATTTAATCTGTAAGCAATGCGTGACATAATAATAATTATATTAAGAAGCAGCAGTTCTCGATCCGATAACAAACGAAGATTAAATTCAAATGAATAAAGTGCAACGCCCTCTATCAGTAGTTTGCTATTAAAAGATCAAAAACAAACTGCCTCATATTGATGATGGAGTACGTTTGGAGCTCTGGGCCTGCATTTATCACATTTCTGAGAAATATTTTTAATATAACTCACAGTTCTCCATAGTGAGCAGAGACAAGGTCATATTTATCAGGCAGCTCACTGCGATTTACAGCCAAAGAGTAAACACGATAGAGCAGCTCATAAGGCCATCGAACGATCAGTCACCAATCAGAGTCAAGTCATCTGCACTGTTGCTCGTTACTTTTTACAAATTCTTATCTTCAGTAGAAATGTATCGTCTAATTTACAAAATACATAAATACTTTGTCTGGAATACAAAGTACAGATGAAGGGAAAATGGTGAAAATCTTTAAAATGTTAAAATCAGATACAAATAACAGATTATTGTACAAGCTGTAGTTTGTGTAAACACTCCAAAACAACAACATTTACCGTAAGTCAGAATAAAACCATAAACTGCTCCAGTTTGTTAGGAGAAATAAAATAAAACTGAATTTAGACATTTTTCTTATTACTTAAGTTCTAAAATTGTACTCGACAGCTCGACAAACAGTGGCCCAGATTCGAGATCGAGTCTGTTTCGTAGAAGCTTTCATCTCAAAGAGGCTTCTCTGCCTTTTCCTTCCACCTCCGCTTCCTTCTCTCTGTCTCATGCCTTCTTGTCTCCTCCTCTGCGCAGTGTGACGTTAGTTACGCACGCCAGCATTAAACAGTGTATCTTCTGCTTCATCATCACTATCATCACGATCGTAATCATCATTGTTACGGCTTTCCTTCTTACCGTAGTTGCACTAATGAGGGCTGGTTTCTTAAAAGCATCTTTACCCTCCCAGTGTTTCCGGTCTGCGCACATGATGCACGACACACTCGCTTTTCCCTCAGCGATGATTGAGCTGCTTTGAGACGAAGCTGGTCGACGCGGTTTTTTTGGTAAAGGTTAAAAAACACGTCATACTGTCGTTGATGAGTATTTTAGGGGTATCGAGTGTACTCTTCTGGAGAAACTTGCTGTTTGGATTAACCATTTAACTGTAATCCACTTTTTCCCCCGCTGGATTTATAAGTTTAAGCATTGACCCCCCTTTTAAGTTTAAGCCTTTATGTGTGACCTCCGCACTCCATCCATAATTATCCAAGGGTTATATCTTGGAGCCTGTTTTCATTATTTCACAAATGTCTACTTTATGCATTGAAGGATGAAATGTTTGGCTTTTCATTCATTTAGGAGGCCACACAGCACGAGAAGCAAACCTAACCCTGTTAAGCCTGAGCCATTCCTTTCCTTCTGACAAATGAAAAAAGAAAAAAAAAAGAAATGAATTATCAATACACGAGTTTCAATCTGTATAATTTTTGCTTTATCTGACATTTTTTAGGTTGATGATATTTAAAGAAGTTTAAAAAAACTCACAACTCATGTGTTATATATGATACAGTTGGCGTTATGGGGTTAAAGCTACTCAGTGGAGTCTGTGACCACGTTAACAGCACATGTAACCTAACAATGGCGACTCTGTTGGTCATGTGAAGCTTGCTTAGTGCATCTGTTACCTGTAGTAGTCTTTTCAGAGGCTTTGCTGCTTGTCGCCAAGGCTCAGCTTAACAACACGTGACTAAACTCTACTTGTACTGAAAACTAAAACGAAAACAACAACAAAAAAAATCATAGCAGTGTTGTTGAGTATATCTGTTTTTTAGCATTGCATCTGCTTTATCGCAAGGGCCATTTAATGCATTCTACTCAGTGGCCTGAAAGGTGCTGTGGAGCAATATTATTTTCACTTTCTTGCAATCCAGGTTGCACCTGTAAAGTTTGTCGCATGACTGCAAAAAATTATTTACACTCTATCCGCCTCATAGATATTTTGTTATTCGGATTAGAGCGTACATTCTTGAGAGCCCTTTGCTACGTAATTGGCGTTGGTGTAATATTTCCAGTTTCTCCAGGGAGCAACATCGCGAGTGCTGAGGTCATGAACGACACTCACCGGAAACACGATGTAACATAATCTCTTGTTTTCCAAACGTAACATTCGAGATCCCAAGATGCTTTTGGCGACGCAGCCCCCACCTGTATGGACCTTGTCAGCCACCCGCTCCCCATCTCCATCCTCCAACCCCGAGGCGACTTCTCCAAGCTGACTGGAGACTGGAGACGTATAGAAAGACTGTTCTGTCAACAGAGTAGCTTTTTATTTCAAATAACAACCAGTTTTTGACCGCATGTGTTTTAAAAGGCTTTAAATGTTTCTCCACAGAATGTTCAGATAGGCCAAATCTGTAATCCTCACTGATTCAGGTCGATCAGTACTGTGTTTGTGTGTTGACAGAACTGGGCTGTCTGTATGACTCTGGCTGTGTGTTTTTAGCCAGGGCACCATGCCACTGTATGTTAGAGTAAAGCACCGATGCAAAGAATCTATTACAGAGATGGAACTATATCTAACATATAATATTTATCCCTGCTCTAACTGCCTATTTTGGTACAAAAAAACATAAATAAAAGTCTTTATTGAGATTTGCTGAAATCCTTTTACCTTTAACCTTCTTTTCTTTTTTTTGCATTGTGGAATGTGTATGAATGTGAATATTCTCTTAAAACTGTAATCTAATATAAGTTCCTTTACTCTCACCTCTACTACGAGTTTGTAGTGCTCTCTCTGGATGTCTGATTTAACTCTTCAAGCAGCACAATTGGAAAAAAGTATCATTAGTTCAGGAAAAAAGGGTGCAGATTATATATTGATTATAAATAGGGTCTTGAATGGGTGCAAATATTAATTGTGTTGACAGGTGTTATTAAGAGGTTTTTTTTTTTTACCATACTTATGCTCAAAAAAAGGGACGCAGACGGAAATTTCTAAACTCACACTGTCACCGCTTTCTTGAAGGTAATGCTCAACAACAGAGACACACTTATCCAAACACTAGGATTTGTTTTCCAGATGTTTAATATTCAGGTATATTCTATTAATACACATGGTTTGAAAAGCATACCATGAAATGATCAGGCAAAGTCCATTTCTGTCCCTGCAGTACAATCTACACAGATGTCCATTCATCCATCCATGGATTAATTTAGAATCATTTACAAAAGTAAAGTGCACCACTGTGCTGCCCACATATGGAACCTCTATGGCTAACTAGTAGAACTCATAGCACTAGGCGCTCACAGTAATGTGTATGGATACCATTTCGAGGACCAAAAGAGGTACCTACAGGTATGTGGTTTACAATTCAGAAGAGAAGACAGAAAGAGGGGACACAAAGGCAGACAAAGTAAAGAAAGAGTAGAGT